GACCATTTGATCTGCAAGTGCTTGGTATGAGGATTCTGATGCTAAAAATTCTTCACATATTTTGTACCCATCATTCCATTCTGTTATCAAAGTTCCTGTAAGAAAAAAAGTAGGTATATAAGTGACAAATTAAATGGCAATTTCACACTATGTAATGTTTTTTTAACCTGTTGAATAAAGTTTCAAACATTATGCTTTTTGTCATATATATCAATAAATTAGAAATTTCATACTTTTGAGTGCCAGCTAGGTCTTTTAACAGATAACAAAAACTTAAAAGCTGGCATGGCAATAATATCAGACAGAACACTGCTTATAACTTTGAAACACTATGAAAGTCCAAACATTTTTTTAAAGATTTATATAAGTAGTACAGCTGTCAACTGTCATTTTCTATACATCAGTCATATTTATTCATAATAAAGAAAAAGTAACAATAAAAGAAAAATTTTGAGGGTTTAACTTATAAGCATTTACTTTTGGATATTGTTTTTTCTCATTAGATTTAACTTATGAGAAGTTACAAATATTTTTTTTTGATTTTTGAGCAACCAATATTCACCTAGAGATTAACCAATCTTAATTTACCTAACATTTTCACGCCATTTCTATGTGCTACATTTATCCATGTGACAGGATACATTACCTAACATTTTCACGCCATTTCTATGTGCCACATTTATCCATGTGACGGGATACATTACCTTTCATTTTCACGCCATTTCTATGCGCTACATTTATCCATGTGATGGATACATTACCTAACATTTTCACGCCATTTCTATGTGCTACATTTATCCATGTGACGGGATACATTACCTAACATTTTCACGCCATTTCTATGTGCTACATTTATCCATGTGACGGGATACATTACCTAACATTTTCACGCCATTTCTATGTGCTACATTAATTCATGTGACAGGATACATTACCTAACATTTTCACGCCATTTCTATGTGCTACATTAATCCATGTGACGGGATACATTACCTTTCATTTTCACGCCATTTCTATGCGCTACATTTATCCATGTGATGGATACATTACCTAACATTTTCACGCCATTTCTATGTGCTACGTTAATCCATGTGACTGGTGGAATTGTGATGAAATGATGACTGAAGTAAACAAATGAATCAATCAGCTGCCATTGATAAAAGTTATAGCTTCTCTCATTCTTGTCACCCTGGATAAATCTGTTCAATATATCAATTATCAAAATGATAAAATCTTGAATTATTAGATCAAATACAAATCCTATATCACTAGATTAATGCTTATCGTGTCTCTTCCAAGTACACATATATAAGTAACACTATTATCCCTGGTTAAATTTGAGTTAGTGTTAATCATGTTTTGTACAAGAATTTTGTTATAAAAATTTTTCAAACTAATTATATTCCACTTTGATTGGATATTCTATCAAACATACAAAGTCTACAAATTCCTTATAAAACCTGGAGTGATATTCGCTATGTGCTATTGACCAGTGGACAAATCTAATACTGATTTTTTTTCAATTTCAAGCCCAAAATTAGTCTCTAATTGTACTTTGGAATTTAAAAATTCTTTCAATGTTCAGTTCCTTTTATTAGGCATGTTTTTGAAGTATTTTCTACATAACATTGACATTTAATGTGTTTTTGCAATCCTGAAAAACTGAATGGCTGGATGCACACACTACATGACCTTGTAGATTCTCTAAAACATTTTCTGATATGTTAATAAACAAATACAAACTGATCAGTTTAGTACAAAACAAACCATGTATGAAAAACTCATGTAAGATGAAAAGATTCTATTTTTAGGTTTTTTTCTACAGTGACGTATGCACCTTGAAATAAAATATACCTGTCTTCAAGATAGCCTCCCCTCATATCATGACAAACAAGTGTTTTTGGTACTGTTTCATCAGTGTGGGGCCTCTCTCTTAAACATTCTGTACCCTGCTTCATCTTGTTTGGAATACCCTCACCTGTCCAAATTCTTACTTCCTCCAAAGTCTTCAGAGGATGACATTCCATGTCAGATATTGCCTAACCAAAATATTATTATCATTAATGTTAAAGGGGAGACCATTTGATATTCTGGGGGGGCCAGGAGATATTCATTTTCACCTGTTGATAGTACAGCTTATTTAAAATCATGTTTTGTACACACTGATTTCCTGCAATATCCTACATTTTGTTGGGCCGAATATAAAATGGTTACACCCCCAAAAGCATAAAGTTTTTCACATATTCATTGTAATTTTCTATAAAATCTCATTTATTGCTTACATATGTTTTCAGATGATCTTTTGATGACAAATACATTCCTATAAATGTGTAAATACAATTACATTTTTAAAGTCAAAAGCACATTCCTATAAATGTGTAAAAGCACCTGTTAGTTGACCTTCTGCTGACTCTGAAAGTTTGTTAACCACCTTAACTGCATATCTTTTCAACCTCAGCAACTTAAACTTTATCAATAACTCAATTGTTTTGATTTGTTACTTTAGTGTTTTGAGCGAATGAAGTTCTCTCATATTTAGAAAGTGTGAACATATAATTGCATTACATCTATCAGGACATTAGAAGATTACAGTTAATGGGCTGACCTGTATTTGACAAACTGATAAGGTACACAAAATGTAATAGTTGTGTCTCTGTATTTCTCTCATGTCAACAATGCATAATACTGACTCATTAATAATGAATCATTGAAATCAGAGGAGTGACCATCATTAAAATATTGAAAATGAATAAAAGGATATATAGGGTAAACATCAGAGAAAGCAACCCTGTAACACATGCAAACCAAAAAACTGATATAAAAACGACACCTCTGAGTCAATGATAAACAAGGGATTCATAATAGTACAAATCCTACATTTTTTTTAAGCACTTTGAATTGAATTTGTGGATTTGTATTTTTGTTTTGTTACTCATCTTTAGTTTTCTGTGTTGTTCTGTATAATAAAATTATGTATATTTCTATATTTTCGTCTTTATCTTTTTTTGTCAAGGGTTAGGCTTTTTTATTTTAAACTTACCATTATAAAAAGAAAAGTGATAGGATTGCCAATGAGACAATTATCCGACAGATCCAAATGACTTGGATGTAAACAACTATAGGTCACTGTACAGCCTTCAATAATTACCCTTCAATAATTACCAAACCCGTACTGTATAGTCAGTTATAAAAGACCCTGACTATCTTTTATGCTTATGATTTTCTTGTTTATGTATCTTCTTACTCTTTTTTCTGTTGTACTTTATGTGGTAAATATCTACATGTTCTTACCTGTTGTTCTGACATTTTAAATATCTTGAACAGGGTGCTTATCAATCTGTTAATATACTGCATACAGGAATACATACATCAGGATCCAGGAAACTTGAAGTTGGTAGAGTATACTTTACGTTCATCCTAAAATCAGAAATTTAAAAAAAATGCATAAACATCATATACTGGCAGTTATATTCCCCTAACTTATAAAAAAAACCAAGTGAAACTGCGAGCTACTGCTCACTGATGATACCCCCGCCCAAATACTTGACTGTCAACAGGAAGTTGTTGAGTGATGAATCTGAAAACGCATCACACGGTATAGCTGACTTATATAAACCCTGAAACCAAATTTCAGAAATCCTTATGATGTAGTTCCTGAGAAAAATGTGACGAAAATATTCATGGGACGGACGGACGGATGGACGGACAGACAGACAGAGGTAAAACAGTATACCCCCACTTTTTTAAAGCGGGGTATAATAATAAGGATATCTATTACATTGTATGATTACAAATGAGATAACTATTTACAAAAGACCAAAATACAAGGATGGGAACAACTACATGGTATTCTCATGTACTATAGTCATTTTGTGATTATTAGTCTTGTAGTATATTTTGAAGAGAGAGAAAAACCAATAATACTGTAATAACAATTTTATCAGTTTATATCAGCAATATAATTTATATGGAAATGTAACAATAATAAAATAATTATTGTTACATTGGAGACTAATTGCCAGTATGCAGGGTTGGGTAAGGAACCGATTAATTACGAATGTAACAATAATATTTGTGTCTACGGTTACATTGCGCTATTGTTACATCGTCATCAATATACTGCAATGTACGATGGGACTAAAAATATTTATTAAAATAAAATTTGAAAACTTTTATTTGATATTTAAAATATTGCATACAATTTTTAAAATCTTTATTTGATATTTACAATATTGCATACAATTTTTAAAATCTTTATTTGATATTTACAATATTGCATACAATTTTTAAAATCTTTATTTGATATTTACAATATTGCATACAATTTTTGAAATTCTTATTTACAATGACAGTTTCTACAAATCCAGTATGTTGTTTTTGGAGCATGTTTTAGTCCGACGCATTGTTGGTGAAACCACTCGATCCAAGCAGCCATTACAAACCAGTGATGCGGCATTTTATACGTTTGTATTGCATATAGTTCAATTCCATTCTGCACTTTTTTGAAGATAAAAATTTGAGTCTAGATATTGTTTTAGTTTCGATTTATACGCATCCGAAGTTTTAAATTTTTCACCCAAAACAAATTTGGTAATAGGAATCACTTCATTCCGATTGTTCAAAGTATAATGACAGTAATAAGGGTACTGAGGTGTGCAGTTAAATACATAGAAGTGAACAATTTTCTCAGTCAAAGTTTTAACAATGAACCATTGAACTATATTTTTCGCCTTTGACACTGGCACTACTTAACTGGATCAGTTTCTTTAAGAACATCAAAACAATTAAATAAAAATACTTAAAACTATTTAAACACATTTTGTTGAATATAAATAAATTATTATTATTATCATTATTACAAATATTATCTAGTACATATCAAAGAATTAAGCAACAAAACTACAGAGGTTAGAGTTTTAAGAAATTTTTATTATCGTGGCATTCTTTAATGTAACAATAACTCAATGTAACCGTAGACACAAATATTATTGTTACATTCGTAATTAATCGGTTCCTTACCCAACCCTGTATTCCGGCAATTAGTCTCCAATGTAACAATAATTATTTTATTATTGTTACATTTCCATGTAACCGTATCCAGTGCCTTTTATATAACAATACTGACATACCAGCCAGTATTGTGATCGCCAAGGTGATCATGTATATAATTCCTTACAATGTCACACACAACCATGAGTGTAACTGTAAGTAAAACACATTTAATATTGGAAAATAAGCTTAAATGTGTTGCTACAAACGGGGAAGACAAGAAAAAGGGCCTTTGTATTTGACTCATGCAACTTTCACTGTACTTGGCAGCGAAGCGTTGCCAGTATTGTACAGTAATATGAAATTGTAGCTTCACTGATCCTATTTATGGTGAAAATACTATTACTATTGAATAAATGACATTAGCAACTATGACATTATCAGACATATCACTGTGACACAAACAATTACCTGATTACATAAGACTACAAAACTTCTTTACCGGTTGTTGACAAATTATAGTTATCTCCCCATTTACAGTGAACAAGAGCTAAATTTATCTATATGAACTATATCAGTCTATCAAGTGAAAGTAGGAGTTTCTTGGTTGATGGTGTTACTGTACAGGTATTGATATTTTAAAACGTTTAAATGTACAACTGTAAATAATGTACATATTTAATACTAACCTAAATAAATCCCATTGGGAGTGACCCTTAGAAAGGGTGAACCTACCAGACAGGTAACAGGTAACAGGAATGACTAGACTGGTCGAGACAATTTAACTAATGGATAATTATAAACTATACTGTAATCATGATATAAGTTCACGTCAAATCACACTCTCCGTCTCTGTTTTATATATATTTATTGACAGTTTTTTTTTCTTCTTCTTCAAACTTGAACTAGTTTCTGATAATTGTCCTACTAAATTTTGGTGATATATAAAAAGTAAGTTTAAGGTAGATCATAAGTATATATTTTTTTAGATAGAATTTTCTTATACTTTGCCAAAATGAAGATTTTATTATGCTTTTTTTCACAAATATAATAAAAAGTATGGGTCACCGTGATATTTTCCAAGCTATGAGTCGTTGAAAATTGCCTAAATTTGGTTAGATTGTTCATGAAAAAAAGCATTTGTGTGCATAAAAAAAATTCTATGAGATAGAATTTTGAAATAAATTGTGAGAATATAGGTTTTATAAAATGTTTAAAGAAAATATAAAGAAAAAATGGTGTCACCGAACTTGTTTTCTTGCTTCAAGTAAAAATAAAAAATTTCCCTATCAGTCCAGTATATATTCTTTACTAAAAGAGTTATCTCCCCTTAAATGGCTTATTTGAAAAAAAATGATTCTAAATACACAAAATTTGATATTTGTTTAAATATTTTGTATAATACAATAAATTACCAAGTTTTCCTTATATAAATAAACAGTCTATATATATATAACCATTAAATTGCAAATCTGTCTCCAAATTTGCAGATTTGGGCAAATAACTTGACCGATTTTGTACTGCGATTGTACAGTCCAAGATGGCGGTATACCATGTATCTACCTTAATAGATCATAATAAGCAAGGATTTGTACTTGTAATATTTATAAGTAAGTAACTTTTATTCATATTCGCTACAGTACACTTTCAAAACAATAAACACGACATTATAAAAGACCTTACAACCGACTATAACATTTAAACAAAACATCATAGCAGAGACATATAATACAAGAGATTCGCAACTCGGCGAACTAACTTAATATCTCCCGGCCACTAGGAAATCCTCGCGAGATCTTCTTAGGTAATTAAAAGTATTAAAAGTACTCGAAGTAAAGATGAATGTTCTGAAATAACATCATGAACTGATTATGGAACACACCGGCTTTCAGTGTTAAGATTATCATAATCAAATTATATATCTATATAATTTGGGTTCATGTCTAATTACTTTATTTGGATTAATTTGTTTATAACTCTGAATTAAATTTTGTATTATTGACATAAAATAATTAGCAGTTGATTAATTTTTAGCCGATTAATTTTATTGTGTGTTCATTTTTATTTGATATTTTCATAATGGGCTTCTATTGAATATACACCTGTCTCAGAGACATAATTTCAGTGTGACATGTATATTAGGTACATGTATGAATTATTCGATGACCAGGTGATTCACAACATGTTAAAATGAGTTTTAATTGACACCTTGTACACTATACATTTATTTCCCGTGCCGGAGGGAGATATGAAGATTTGTTCACATAAGAATATTCATATTTCACGAGGGCTCTGCCCGAGGGAAATATGATTTTTCGAGGGTGAGCAAATCTTCATATCTCCCGAGGCAAAGGGAAATGCATGTTTTTTTCCACTGCCTATGCTTTGTTTACTATCAATACATTAAATATTATTTTGCATACATTTTTTTTCTTATCCGCTTGTTTTTGTAAGTCAAACTAAACACGACATACCTATTGATAAACAGTAAGGATCAAAATTTAATTATAAGTCTTTTTGTTTTATCGTCTGAAATAAATTTGAACACGATGATGATTTTTGCTATCGCTATTTTAAGAAGAATAAGAAGTTCAAAACGTTATGTACATTAACCGCGCGTAACGTCGCACGAAGTAATCCCAACATTTCAGAGGGTAATATGATCCTCAGAATGGAATATGAAGATTTGTTCAATGACACGTGGGATAGTCTCAACCAATCAAATATTGATTAAACTATCAATATGTTTAAACAGTGGAATAAAATAATTAATCAAATTTTAATGATTTATAAATATCAAGAATAAAAGACAAAGCCGATCATGATTAACAATAAATTAACAAATAAATAAAAATCAGTTTTTAAATACAATATTTAATTTTATAATTTTTGAAATTTTACTTTTTGAAAGAGTTTAGACTCGATCCTGGAGTGTAACAACGTGTTCATCATTAATTGGGCTTGCATTAAGTTTTTTCTTTAGGATTGTCGGTAAATGTATGATTTCTAAGTGTTTTTGAAAGTTTCATTATTGGCTTGCATTGAGTTGTTTTTTTAAATGATTGTCGGTAAATGTGTGGTTTCTACATGTTCTAAGTGTGTATTGAGGATTAATATTAAAGAAAATTACAATTAATTTCTCATTTGAATAAAGTTTCATTCATGTGCACGCAATATGGCAAAGTCCGATTTTATTTCGTGGGATGACGATCTTAATAGTTATGACTTAGATATACTCCGAGTTGAATAAACTGATAACGAACTCTTTGTTGCTAGTGATAGTGACGAAGACATAAGCGAGAGACCAGCCAAAAATACAAAAAAACACTGAATTGAACAATAGTGCATACATACATGGATATGTGTGTCCTCTGTGCAACAAAAATCTAAAAAGAAAACAAAACTTTTAAGTGGGAGTCGAGGTAACACATCAAAGCAACATGGAAGACACTACTTGTGAAAGGTTATAGCCTTATTTCCACGGGACAATCATGTGTAGTGGTTTTTGTTTTTTTTCTGGGGGAAGGAGATGACAGTTTAAAAGTAAGATTGTTTTATGTGTACATATACAAATCCTTGGTGTAAATAAAATCTTTTATTATCACATATATATATATATCTTTTATTATCACATATATATATATATACAGTTATAGTAGTCAGGTAGACTGGAAAAGTAAGTCAACGGACACAAATTCAATTTATTTTGCAGTCACCATTGAAATGTCCTCATACGATTTAATTTCAGCAAATATTTGTCTTCATATGAATATGGTTCATGTTTTGAATGAGAAGCGTAGTCTGAAACGACAACAGATGCATGAAGCTTATTCATAATATTACGACCAGTTGTAGAAGGTTTCTTTTTCTATGAAAATTTTACTCCTTTTGTAAATTTACTGCCTTCGTTCATCATTGGCATCCTAAAAAGAAAAAGAAAAAATGAATTCAGAATAGAAGAAAATAAACAACTTTTCCCTAAACAGAAAGAAAAATGAATAATTTGCCCCACAAAAAGCAGGCTATAAATTTCATAGTGCACAAAAATGAAGGACTGGTTTAAGGAAATGTGTCCATGAACAATTTCAATATTTAGCCAGTTTAATATAAAAAAAAAGAAAAGAAAAGAAAAATACCTTATTTGTTCACATTACACTTCCACTTTGAAATGAACAATAAAAATTTTACAACCCTGACATGTGTTGTATTATATGTCTCTGATCATAGTAAGCAAAGTTTAATCTATTTAAAACGACATATAGACATAATATATAGATATAAGAAGATGTGGTATGAGTGCCAATGAGACAACTCTCCATCCAGGTCACAATTTGTAAAAGTAAACCATTATAGGTCAAAGTACGGTCTTCAACACGGAGCCTTGGCTCACACCGAACAGCAAGCTATAAAGGGCCCCAAACATGACTAGTGTAAAACCATTCAAACAGGAAAACCAACGGTCTAATCTATATAAAAAACGAGAAACGAGAAACACTTATGAACCGCAACAACAAACGACAACCACTGAACATCAGATTCCTGACTTAGTACAGGTGCAAATAAATGCAGCAGGTTTAAACGTTTTAATAGGCGTCAACCTTCACCCTACCTGAAACAATAGTGTAACATCACAACATAGAAAGATAAGCATACATGAACGTGCATATATATATATATATATATATACATAACTATTACAAAGGATTAGCACACATTAGCGTCATATAAAATAAGCATACATAAGCATCAGATTTAAATAGAAAAGCGTATGGACCAAAAGTGCTTTTAAAATGTCTCATAAACACACACAAATAATAATTTAAGCATGACAAGACATAAATCACTATTATAAATAAGCATCATAGCATGAAATTTAGCCAATAAGCAAGTATCGTAAAGCAGATAGCAACAATGTAAGGCAGATAAAGCTGATAGCTGGAATATAACTATGCCGTGAGACAGTACTGTTTGGTATTTGCTGGTACTGCAGAAACAATTTTGTCCACCACACCAGCTAGATATGGTCAAACGAGGCCATATTTCTGGACTCATTTGGGATTGAATTCCAAAATCTTTGTTTGAACTGTATGTAAACTATAGGATAATCCTTTCATAAGAACATGTTTTATATTAGTTCTTCACAATTAAGAACCATCAAATCCTACAATTTCATTGGTCGGAATTTTTTTTATCTAGTTGTATTGGCTGTGAACAGGCTTCAGTAACTGCGAGTACTCTTATTTCTGTGCTTTGTTTTTATTGTTTTATGTTAGTTGTTTTTGTGTCTCGTACCGATCTTTTGAATTGAGCCAATTGCCTCTGAATTTTACAGTTTTTTCTTATGTTGTATTGTTACACCACTGTCTGATGCAGGTTAGCAGGTGACCTATAGCTGCTTACGTTTACGTTCTTTGGACTGTGGTGAATAGTTGTCTTATTAACCACCTTACCAAATCTCTTAATTCTATATATCAATTTACACATTCTAGAAACTATGGGACGAGATAACCTCTTTATCTTTTTATAAAAGCTTTTGGGCTCTTTTAGGTCCCAATTCTTTTATATGACTGTAAAACTAGGACAGTTAACGTTTTTAACACTTTTTAAATTTCGTGCGTTAGAAGCGCTTTTCGAGATTTACTTTCATCAAGAACGTTCAAACCAACACAGATTGAAAGCCAGGAATGTATAAATATGAAAAAAAAACGTAGTTAGGAGTTTTATGACCAAAATCAATCTTAAAAGAATACAGAAATTCCTCTAAAATCAAATTTGCCTGCAGGACTTGGAACTTTAGTTTCTACTTAATTTCATACTTTATCAACAGAGAATTTTGTTATAAATCATGTCAGAGCCATAGTTTAAAGATAAGAAATCAGGTAAATGACAGTTAAACTTTGATAAGTGAACGACGCAAATAAGGACAATATTGAAGAACAATGAAGCGGACTTTTGTGTTAGTCTGTTGTATTAGTAAGTAACTTTGATATATGTATTTTTTAATGATTTTTAGTCATTTATATAGAAAGTAAAAAATAGGAAAAGTTGTTATTATACACTGTTTTTTTATACTGTTATAGGCTTAGCAGTTGCTTGTGTTGACTTGTCTGGTAATTGTTCAGACAAGAGTTTATGTATCTTAAAAGCCTACAGAGCTGGTTGTCAGAAATTATGCGGCTGTCCGGGTAAGTTTTATTGAGAACGTATCAAACTGTTCAATGATTTAGTCCTCAAATATACACTTCAAAATTGCTTTAACATAATGACCAAACGATATTCGTGTACATTTTTGCTCTTTACCGAGAATTGGGACGTAAAGAAAATAACTAATCGATTTAATGGTAAACATTGAATCATAACTTATTAGAGGAATATGAAATATCCAATGTACTGATCTTCACTTTTCTAAAGCTCACACTTACATGACGGTCATTCATATAGTCATTTTCAAAACGTAAAGCAATTTACTCGATGGTATCTTCAAAGATGGTGTTTTCATAGATCATTTCAAGTCTTGTCCATTACACTCCGTAAATGAAGCGCAGTAGATAAAAGGACCAAGTATCACGGTGATACACATATGCAAGACTAAAATATTAAAGCTAAATGCACTACTTAAGTCGGCAAAAGTTGACACAACACTCCTAACAAAATTTTGTAGTAATTTTACAACGCGCGAAGAATGGTACGATTTAACCATAATGATAGGATTTCCGTGAGCACAAGTATATATGGAATTACCTTCACCAGGTACGCTAGTGACCAAGAGTTTGGAAAGCCGAAAAGATAAATTTTCAGAGAGCATTAAAACCAAAAGGACCTGAACACAACACACTAAATTGCTGACTACCTGCATTTGGTCGGCTGTTAATGCCTCATCCGTGACGCTAATAACCAATTTGATAAAAGCAGATGATAAACAGACTTCTGCAATTGACCCAACACTCCAAAACATTTTATCAAACTATTTAATGAGCTGACTACTGGGCTGGTGATATACTCGGGGACGAAATGTCCACCGGCAATGGCATCGACCCTGGGGTTGTAAAATCTCATCAAAGATATCAGGCTTATAATTTGGTATGCCAAAGGCGCGTTTCGTCTTCATAAGACTCATCACAGATGCGCGAATTAAAAGAGTGGAAAGCCAAATCAAAGATGAACAGCAATAATTTTTGAAAATTCCGAAAAGTTGTGCCGGCTTAGGCAATCAACACCCGGGGATAGAAAAACCTTAGTGTTTTGAATATTTCAACGTTTTATATAAATAGTAAATTTACAGAAAATTAACATATCAATCAGAGTATGACAAGTTTGTTTTTCCGGAGCATGACAGTTCCGAATAATGGGTACCGTAGTTGCACATACTTTTTATGTCTCCGTACTATGCTTAAAAAGTAATCCGCTAATAAATTCAATGATTTGGATATATATCAAATTAAAAAATATATACCACTAATTTGCTGACCGTTATGGAATATATTTGTGTCAGTGATGACCAAGGATGTGTTCCAATTGTCGTAACCAGAATGCCGTTCTCTTTTCTTCCATTGTGGCATCACCGACTGAGACTTATTATCAGATTTGTACTTGTATGAACAAAACGACGGGTGCTCATGTGGAGCAGAAACTGCATACCCATGAGACACCCGTCTTGTTACTCCTATAAAATACGTTGATAAGTTTTATCAAGTGATTAGGAACAAGTAAAATGTTGATTAAAGGCGACAAAAACCACCAAGTACATAGGTGTTGATTTAAGCCAGATTCTGTCATAAACCATCATATGTCAAAGTAAAAAGACATGACAAAAGTTGTAATATTACATAAACAGGGACATATTTTAGATAGACGACAGTGTACGTTGATTTATAGAAGCGTTAAATTTTCCAGTAAGATCAGAAAATTGGGACATAGTTACGAATCTGACATTCAACCATATCAGAATTGCAACCGTATAGTTTGTGAAGTGATTATGCAGTCAGATGTCTTCATAACATTGCAAGAAATGAAAGTTCACAATAAGAACAATGAATTCACCGCGATTTCATTATTTTTTTTAGACAAGACACAAGACAAGACACAAGACAAGACACCAGACACAGACACAGAAGCAAGGTGAAAACTGAAATAAGAACTAGAATGATAGTTAATATATAATTTCATACTATTACTCAGTCAGTGTTTAAGAAGTTTTAAACCTTATCCCAAAAGAAATAGCCATTGCTTTCACAATAATGAAACCTCTCTATTTTATTTCAAACAGTGATGGATAGAGAAAAATATCTGCGGCTTAATATCTTTATGAAGGAATCATTTATTTAATGAAGAATTGAAAAATAAGATAAGAAAATAATTTCAGATACATTATTAATGAAAAAGTGCTTTTCAAAAAGTAGTCTACATTGAATTAAAGAAATTACTGCTTTCCTTTGAATATCATTTATCACGGACTACATTTGTACGTATGATTATGTACATTAAAAAAAATATCAGGTGGCATATGGTCCCATGTAAGTGCAGTGAAATGGATTTGTATTATTTTGCTTGATTTACGGATATCTTTCTTTTTCAGTTTTTCACTTTCCTTATGAAAAGAGAATAGATATAGGAAGATGTGGTATGAGTGCCAATGAGACAACTCTCCATCCATATTACAATTTATAAAAGTAAACCATTATAGGTCAAGGTACGGCCTTCAACACGGAGCATGTCTGCTTCAACCTTGCAGTGAGGTACTTGCTTCAAACATTTTAATTCCCCAGAATACATAAACATTGTTCACAAGTTATCGCCGGTTGCGGTGACCTATAGGCGAACAAATGCAATAATTTGCGGCAAACTCAGAAAATCTCTAAAAAATTAATTAACTTTGCCGCAGACTTTACAGCAGGTTTTAAGTTTGCACCAGATTTTGAAATAGGCTTAAACAGTAATATATAACACTCTTAGTTATATTGAGCATGCTCTATGCAATGAAAACAGACATCCTGTTTGATCAAATTTGAAATTGGAGGGAGGTGAATTTGTAGGTATGTTCATGTAAAATATAAATGAATATCTAAAACGATTTATATAAATATCTTTGTTGTATATGACCTGGAGTTGGCCATGCATTTGTTCACCTTTCTGTAAGTCATTGTAGATTGATATATAGCATGACTATTGTTTAGTTATGCATGAAAGCTGAGGAGCAATAGTATGTTACCAAAATATATACATGTATGTCAAATGAACCCCCATTTTTTGTTTCACAAAAACCAAACCAGTATTAAAATGTTATGACGGATGCATACTAAACATACAAAATAACGGTACTATGCAAGAATTATCAACTTATCTGCAACTATTTATAAAATTTTGTTTTTGTTACCAACCTTTTTACCCCTTTTTCTCTTGTAAGTATTTTCAGGAATGCCGGCAAATAATTATTAAACGGAAGTTAAATTAGAAACAAACTGCACACTTGTGTTTCTTAATGAATGGAATACTTTAATTTCAAATTTCTTCAATGACTAGCAGAGATGTTAGTTAGATGAATATATTAAGATATTTTGTTATTTTATTGAAACCAATATCCATAATTATCTTTTTCAGCCTATGTTTAAAAATGATGCATCATTAACATATTTAATTCACAGTAAGTTCACATAAAAAAAATGTCAGAAGTTTGCCTCAAACTTTATAAGGCTATAAAAAGTTTGTCAGAAGTTTGCCTCAAATTTTATAAGGCTATAAAAAATTTGACAGAAGTTTGCCTCAAACTTTATAAGGCTATAAAAAATTTGTCAGAAGTTTGCCTCAAACTTTATAAGGCTATAAAAAATTTGTCAGAAGTTTGCCTCAAACTTTATAAGGCTATAAAACATTTGTCAGAAGTTTGCCTCAAACTTTATAAGGCTATAAAAAGTTTGCGGTAAATGTAAACAACCTTCATTTGCATGGTAAAAAGTCGCCTTCAATGGAAACAATTTGCCGCAAATTAAGCTCTAAGTTTGCCTGCAAAACTGCCACAATAGTTACCAGAAGGCTGATTGTTTTGATAAGAGGTATTGTAGGTATATGCATCCCTCAAATCGACTTGAATTAGAATAAAGTTTCATCAGTAGATTACTGAAGCTTACCTTTCAACACGGTTTGACTATTACACCTTTCAAAACCCACAACCAAGCCTTCTCTTAAAAAGAATACTAATGTGTATGTCGTTAATCCTTACTTTTATTTCTTTTCAAAGCCTGAAGCAGAGAAGAGGATTTTGTAATATCAGCTACGATTGTAGTTGCAGAAGCGGACAGGTCGCTGTTTGCGTACACCATGTTTGTATATGTGAAGATCCAGTTGGAAAATAGGTAGCTGAATTTTTATCAAATATATTTTACTTGCAGTGTATATGTTAGCGGCAATAAGTGAAATTAGGCATTAAGTTTAAATCCTAGTCAATAAGCTAACGCCTAGGCAATAAGTCTATTGCCTAAATAGTGTTAGGCATTAATCTTAAATCCTAGGATTTAAGCCTAAATCCTGAAAAATGTGTCCAGGCATTAATCTTAATGCCTAAAATGTAAATGCGAGTAAATAAAAAAACATTTGTTCAAAATTCAAACACATTTGGTACATACTAACGTGATAAGAACTGAAGTTTAAAATGTCAACTCCTTGAAATAAAGTCACCAGTTCTGACCACTTTATTTTTAAACTCGGGTATAACCAAAGCTGTAAATTCACGACCATTGTGATAATGCAGTTTATGGGACACACTAAAAAATAAAAACATTAAAAATATGAAACCCTTAATTAAAACAAAAGTTACCTCCACTTAAGCACATTTTGACGTACAAAATCTAATGTTAAAAACTTTTGTAAGTTGATTTTGGTATGGTTTAAGACATTTATAGTTTCCATTTTGGTTTAATTGGCAATCCATTAAATCAACCTGTCCTCTACTGTTGAACTCTTCGGATAAAATGGCTTTCCATTCTACTCCCTTTTCTAACATACCTTTTCTTCATGTTACAATTTTCCCAAAGTGAAAAACATTGTTCGATGTAAATATTTGCATAAATATTAAATGTTCCCTTTCCAAAGTACCACGATAAAGAAAAAAATAAATTTTGATTTTTTTTCTCATCATTCTCCTTTACTCTACTTATCAATCTTTCAAAGTCCCCTAAGGTAAAAAAAAAATGTCATACGTTTTTTTTCTAATTGCAGTAGTCTATAGTTGCCATCTTTTCTGTGGATTCTAAAAGTTAAAAGTTAAAAAATTATCATTGTAAAATCTGTTAAATTAGACCAAGTGTATATCAATATTTGGAATACAATTTAAAAAATACTTTAAATCAAGAACATTTTACCGATTGTATATCTACTTGGAAGATTAAAAAAAAATCCCAAAATTCACTTATTGCTAGGTTGAATAGTCATCATTATATTTCAGGAAATAAGCTTAATGCCTGAAAATTTCAGGCAATAACTTAATGCCTAGGCGTTAGCTTATTGCGTAGGATTTAAGCTTAATGCCTAATTTTACTTATTGCCGCTAACATATATAAATGAAATGAGGCGTGTTAAATTACAACTAGATGGCAACTCAAATACACAAGCAAACAAAGAGGACTTCTTCAGACTAACAGCCAACTCATCCAGTCTCACTGCCTTTCATATGACGAGCAACAACGAATTCCTAAATGAATAAAAACTTGGATAATAACAAACTTATGCGATATCTTTGGCCTTGTCAAAAGCTACTAAAGATACCAAGTTGTAATTTGCTACGCCAACCGCGCGTTTCGTCTACATAAGACTCATCAGTGCCGCTCGAATAAAAAAGTTGGAAGTAAATTCTAACATCGAATTTTAAGAGCATTGCGAGCCAAACATTCCCAAAAGTTTTGCCAAATACGGTTGAGGACATCCATACATGCGGTAGAAACACCTTAATTGGTGTTTCGAATAAATCAAAATTTGATAAAACAGAAAATTTACAAAAAATGGTTCTGTCAATACAAGGTGCTAACTATTGGGCTGGTGATACTATCGCGACGAGAAAGATAGACCTAGTAGTGTATTCGTTGTACAAAATTAGATAATTGAATTGAGAGTGCAAACAACGAAAAATACAATACCGAAATCCTGTCCCAATTGCCTGTGGTCCAACCGCAAAATCTTCGTCAACCTGCTGAAGAAGGACGACTTAAATCGACACAACACAAGTTCAGCTCAGTAGTCAGTACTTCGGTACTGACATGATTTAACAAACTTTTCTAAAATTGTCCGTTTTTAAATTTTGAAATTATTAAGAAACTAAGGTTTCAACTCCCTCAGGCAAAGTTGACTTTAGATGAATTTGACTGTTTATTTTAGGTATTTTTGTCATATAGCTCTTCAACGGTTTCGGTACTTATTCATCCTTGGATTTCAAATATTTGGCTTTAAGCGTTTCCTGATGAAGGTAAATCCAGAAAAGCGCCTCGGACGCATGAAATTATTAAACGTGTTGTTTTCATATTTTACAGTCATCATAACGATTATATATACCGATACGATATGTCTGTGTTTCAATTACGACGGATATGTGTTTGTGGTCTTATGACGTCAGAATAGTCGTCTAATCTGTGAATTTAGCGGTGATGTCCTATTCACTATTGAGACATTATTGACTGAGTATTGTTTCGCATGGCAGATGTTAGCAGGTGACGAATACCCTGTTGACATATTCGGTTAAGCTCCGTTTGCAATTCCCTCAGGGTTTTTCCTATTAATTGTATATTCAAAATGAATTTTTGAACATTGGTAAACTACTGTTGCCCCTTATTCATTAAACATTTTTCTTCCTTTTTCAGAAAAAGTAAAGAGATTTCAAAAGCTACATTTGGACATGTAAAGTATATTCTTGAAATAAAGTACACCGAATTATATCATGTTATGCCCAACTGTGATGAAATGAATTTGCTTAGTTTAGTGATATTGAAGTTGTTAGTATTATATGGAGATTTAGTAAACGCTTTTATGCGATATATAACATACAAAATTAATAAGTATCGAAACAATATTTCTTATAAGTGGCGCTAGAACGCAAATACAGGATCATTTTTACCACTGCAAGTGCGAATTTTATTCACACAATGTTTAATTTACTGTTTCTTCACTGACTGATTTGTTGACCATTATGGTTTGTTTCTGTCAAAGGCGGCTGCGTTTCTGTGCCTTAGCTCGACTGTCACCAAGAATTTATTCGATAAGATTTTTCCTAACATCACAATCATTTCCCAAGCCTAAAATCTGTTGGAAGCTATATATTGTCTTGCAGATGCAAATTAATTCGATTTGGTTAGAAATGTCCTCTGATGCAAAATTTGCAAAAACCTGTAAAATTCTCAATTTTGTATCCGATAGTGACCGGAAGGGTCAGTAGATCATTATACATGTGTGGCACTCGTCGTGTTGCTCATGGTAGAATTGCTACAAATCTGTGGTTATTTGTGACAGATATTCCATAACGGTCAACCAACTCATGATGGCGACTGTAAATCTTTGAAGGGATAACTTTAATTTAACTACTAAAAAACCTTGGTTCAATAGCTTCCATGATGAAGGTTAATAAGTTTTCCATGGTGAACGTAATATTAAAAACATCGCTTCGGATGGAATTTTTAAAGCGTTAATTTCATTTACGAGTACTAGGTCTATATCACAGCTGATGGACTGTTAGTCCCAGGGGGTATCATCAGCTTAGTAGTCAGTGTTTCGTTACCGACATGATTTATAACATATTTTTCTAAAAATCTCCGTTGATGAATTAAGAAATTACAAAGAAACTAAGGTTCCAACTCACTTAGACAATGTTCACCTTAGTTGAATATTTTACTCTCCATCAAGCAAAATTAAGATGGGAAAAAGTATTGGATTATCAAATTAATTGGGAAATATATACGCCATATGCTCATATTGCTGGAATATTGCTATAATAAATGAAAAGTCACAATGGGAAAATTGAAATAATCTTTGTTTAAGTGAACGCAGGTGGGAGTGCTTAATTATAACCAGGTAGCTATGAGGAGTTTTTACACCCATTGGATATATACCACTGCTGTTGGACGTTTCGTCCTCTAATGTTTCATTAATCCAGTAATCTGCAATCCTGCGCTGACAAGAATAATATCATTGAAGCTGTCATTTTCTGTTCAAAACTGTTATAATGAGTAAGTACATTTTTGAGTAGTGATTTACTTTACTCAATGTTTAATTAATCTGAGCCAAAACTGCGTATACCAACATGGCCATTATTAATGTAAAAACACAGTGTTAAATTTCACGTAATCATCATTTATCTGAAAAGATTGAGCATGAATAAAAAATCTTCTGACGAACAAAATTGCTATCGTTTCTAAATATTAGAACAAGTCACACACTGTTAAGCTAAACATCTTCAACCAACTGGAACCAGCTTATAGTAAAATATTGTTTTTTAACAATAGGCACAGTAGCATGAGAAATATAAAAGCTATCATTGAACTTAAGTTTTCATGGTGCCTTATGTGGAAATTGAAATATTTTTTTCACATAATCCTTCTTCTGAAACAGTTGAATTAATATGGGTGGCATCGAAGAAATATTTGTACTCGCAATTTAAAGCAACAAACAACAAAGTAACACAACAATATCTCAACCAATCGGATTATGATTTGGGTAATGTGGTTTTTATATTGCTCTTTTTCAGAACAATGTGTGATGATCGTGTTTTGTGTCTTATATAGTTACTATATTTTTCAGTAAATAAAAGGATCTTTTGGTCTGAAATCAATGAGGAAAAAACTTGCCTACAGTTCAATTGACAATGAGGGTCGGTTGAGAACTAAACTTTACGACAAAAAAGATGATTTCAGCTTCTCAATTGTGAACTTTCCATTTCTATGTAGCAACATTCCAGTAGCACCTGCATATGGAGTATATATCTCCAAGTTCATACGATATTCTAGGACTTTCGTTTCCTATTATGATTTCCTTGATAGAGGGTTGCTGCTCATAAGGGAGCTATAAAAGCAAGAGTGGTGAAGTTGAAATCATCCCTCCGAAAATTTTACGGACGCCACCACGAGTTGGTTTCACAGATAACGACGGATATGTTCCAATCGTCGTAACCAAAATCACGTCCTCCTTTCTCCCGAATGTGACCTACCGAATCAGACTTATTACCGGGTTTATACTTATATGAGCAACACGACGGGTGCCACATGTGAAGCAGGATCTGATTACCCTTCCGTTGCACCTGAGATCACCTCCGGTTTTTGGTGGGATTCGTGTTGCTCAGTCTTTAATTTTCTATGTTTTGTTTTGTATACTGTTGTTTGTCTTTTGGTCTTTTTCTTTTTGCCATGGCGTTGTCAGTTTCCGACCTATGAGTTTGAATGCCCCTTTGGTATCTTTTGCCCCTCTCTTCTAAATTAATATACAATAACAACAACTTGAAACGTGCATCTGGCATGCTAGATTATAAACCTGATATCTTTGATGAGTTTTCATCTTATTTGCCACTACTTAGAAATGCTTTAGAGCGAATGTGGACACTTGTAACCAAATACCGGGAAATATTTGAAATTTTCGCGGAAGACATATTACTGCGAAATTTACAATACACAAACATTTCCTTGTCCATTTAAATGTATTATACCAATCTCTGAAATGGGGAAAATGAACCCAGCAAAAATTTGAATGACCATTTAAGGCCAAAATCCCTGAACGCGAAAATTACCCGATATACGGTATAAGTCTGGTATCGTTGGTAGCTTTGTACAATGCTCCTATATTACTAAGCATACGTGGTTCAAGTGATTGTAGGTTCATGATAGCCTGATATCTTTACGAAAACTTGGCCATGTAAAATTGAGAACGACGAGTACTTAAATAATATTTAATGAATACATATTCTAATTTCTTCAAGAACAACCAAAAAAGCTTATCAGGAATAAAAAAAACATGTGTCTATCGTTTATGCAAGTGTGACAACATTTGCATAAACTGCAAGTCTGACTTTGAGTTAAGTTGATTTCAGTAACTGTGCCAATGTTCCATATTGGGACTTTATTGAAATTGAATGTTATTCCAAATACTATTCATACCAACATTTATGATAAACCTAAAAGTCTTTTCTTTCCCTATTTTTGACTTTTTTAAATGTCTTACCTAAATATTAGGTCTAATGTCATTCGCTGGTTTCAATTAGATTTAATTGTATTTTATGTTACATAGATCCATAAGTTAGGATCGGTCCTTATAAATCACAGGACTCATTCTCTCTTTAGGAGTATGTACGTCTGGCTTTATGAAATTAGCTAAAGCAGTTACATGTATATGACAAAGATTTAACATGGACCTCTGATTTGTTCATGTATTTTGAAATACTATTCAGCCAATCGATATAAACCCTTCTCTCCTAATCTACACTATAAGTTTAATGAAAATTGATAGAAGTGTTTGGGGGTGTACCTCGTTGTCAAAATTATGGTTACACACAAAAACATTATTCCTTACCATCTTATTCATTTTTTTTTGCAATGGAATGAAAAATGAATATCTTGTAGTAAAAAGTTAAATCACAAAAATACTGAACTCCGAGGAAACGGAAAGTCCCTAATCAAATGGCAAAATCAAAAGCACAAACACATCAAACGAATTGAAAACAACTGTCATATTCCTTACTTGGTACAGGCATTTTCTTATGTAGAAAATGGTGGATTGAACCTGGTTTTATAGCGCTAAACCTCTCACTTATATGACAGTCGCATCAAATTCCATTATATTGACAACGATGCGTGAATAAAACAAACAGACATAATAGGTAAAAATGTCAAAATAGGGGTACAGCAGTCAACACCGTGTCACAATCTTAATCACAAAAAAAAACCAAACAAATATTTAACAAAGAAGCACAAAAAAGCATATATCACATTTAACAACCTAGTTCATTGCTTACTTATTTTTGTATTTTATTTATGTATGCCAAATCAACCCATAAAGGATAGAGGGATTTTAAGCACTGGGACCGAATCGTAATTTTAACATTAACTCTGGCGTAGAATCGCGTGTTTGACGTCAGAATGTAAACGTCACACAGGTAGAGATATAAAGTAATTTTGTCGTTTAAAGTATGCAAAAATTATAATAGAACAAATAACACAATGGCGGGATGTTTAAAATACAGAGACACGTCATATGTATCAAAGAAACATAAAAAGTAACACGGACAAAGCACACAAGTAAAAATGAAAAATAATACAAACAACACAATGACGGGATGCATAAATACAGAGCCACGTCAAATGTATATACCAAAAACAGACCAAACAGTAAAAGTCTTCAATGTTTGTTACCTTTTCCTATCCCTCAAATAAAATTTTTAGTTTTTAGGAAAGAACAGCAGGCATTGTTTGAACACATACAGAAATGCTAACGACGCAAACAATTATACTTTTTGATAAGTATACGAATTAACTTAAACAAATTCTTTTGGATGTTTTAAGAATTAAAATTACAATTTATTTTAATCTCTTTTTCTTCATTTTTATGCGTAAAGCAAACGAAAACCCCATGTGGAAAGTCTAAATTAAAAAAAATATATATATAAATAGATGTATGGAAATATCAGTAAAATGATAATATTACGGGTGCTTCTCTTAATATTTTTTTAAAGGTTTAATGTTTAGATGTTTTGGGTAAACAATTTGATAGAATCGATATTTTATAGTCAATTTATAACATTCACAATATGTAACGAAATATATATATTGACATTTCAGAAAAAAATAACTAAATCTATTCCGTCATTCTTTTGAGCCAAACATGGCTTAAACTTGCCTATTGTAAGAAAGCTGCATGCATATTTTTTTTACATCAAATACTGCAACATTGTAATTTAGGAACAACGTGGCGAGACATTGTTTGTAAAAATAAACTGTTGAAAGTAGT